TTTGGTTAATTTGACTATTCAATAAAATTATCAATTAAATATAAATAAAGTAAAGTAATGTATTTTGTAATTTGATGTTTTTCAAAGAAGAGGGAAATTTTGGTGTATTCATGTTTTTGGGAAGAGAAAGAAGAGGGAAATTTGGTTCTTTGAATTTTTTTAGAAAAGAAAAAAGTAGGAATTTTGGTGTTTTTGATATGTGGGAAGAGAAAGAAGTGGGAAAGTTTGATTCTTTTGATTATGAAAGAGAAATAAGGAGGGAAACTTTTGACTTTTCAACTTTTTGTAGAAGGAAAGAAGAGGGTAATTTGGTTCTTTCAATTTTATGGAAGAGAAAGAGGAGGGAAAATTGAGTTTTTCTAATGTATAGAAGGAGAAATAAGGAGGGAAATTTTAGTATTTTTGTGAAAAAGAAAGAAGGAAACAAATTTAGTGTTTTTCAATTTTTTGGTTTTTCATAATTTTAGCTTTTGAAATATGAATCTTTAACTTTTATATGGAGGGCATGACTAGTTAAAATTATTCTTATATGCTTTGAAGGATAATATGTATATATGTATGTAATTGTTTATGGGCTAATAAATGAATTAACCATTAGTTACAACAATTTATACTAGACTTGATAAGTAATCTTTGACAGTTCGTTGTTTAGGATATAAAGTATATGGTTAGGGTATAAGGTATAAGGTAAATATGGTTTAGGGTGTATATGGTTAGGGTATAAGATATTGATGGTTTTGACGGTTCTAAGTTTTTTATTAACATATGTTCGCTTGAAGTCATTTGAAGTCTTTAACGGTAGGATATCTCTTTTTAATTTATGTTTATGGTACGTGGTTAGGGTACAAGGTATGTGGTGTAAAGTATAGGATATATGGAATGTGGTTAGGGTATAACAATTAGCAAATATCACTTTTTATCTATGTTTTGAAAATCAAAGTATGAATTTCACTTTTAAATTAACTATACTAGCAAAATCATAACTCAAGGACATATGGTTAGGGTATAGGTTATGTGGTTAGTGTATAATGTATTGATGGTTTAGGGTATACAATCAACAATATATACTAACTTAATATTATTGAAGTCACAATAATTTTAATAAATTTGATAGCTAATCTTTAATGGTTCAATTTTTAGGATAATTCGAACAATTTTACAAATAACTCGTTTGGCAACAGTTTACTGAAGTTATTTGGGCAATGAGTTATTTTGAAATAACTCTTTTTATCACTATGCTTTTGCCAATTACCACACGCCAAATACCAGATTTGCATGGTTATGCTAAACGAGATACTTTAATTCAATTACTACTGAATTAATACTAAAATATCAAATAAACAATTAACGGTGTCTTTTGGTTGCAAATATTGATATCACCATTACTATTAGCTATAATACTTTACCAATTATGATTAATTACATAACAAGTTTGCAAGTCATACAAATTGATTTAAAATTTTGACTAGTTTTTTTCCAAAAAAATAAAGTATATATATACGAGGTAGAAATAAATTGGTTAAAAAGTTGAGAAAATATTTTAAATTAGTGTGATAAAATGTGTAAGTTGGTAATGAGTAATGAGTTAAGTTACTTGATGCGCTGGCCCGAACAACCCGAAACCCAACCCGCCCGACCCAAAACCCGATGAACCCGCAACCCGATTTCCCCACAACCCGATTGAACCCGAACCCGATGAACCCGCAACCCGACTAACCCGCAACCCGTTTGAACCCGAACCCGAACCCGATGAACCCGAACCCGTTTGAACCCGAACCCGATTGAACCCAGCCCGAACTCGCCCGAACCCGCCCGATTGACACCTATAATAGGAAGACGTATGGTTTTGGATGAAGCTGTGTCTGCAGCCCTAGCCTGCTCACGACCCTAGAGGAAATCAGATTCCTCTCCCTGCCTCCATCCATGAGAACCAAGCACAGCTGCTCTTCGATTAAACAACGCGTAAAGAACATGGAATTCGCTAATTCTGCTGCCGCCATTGTTACTTTGCTTTTGTGCTGAGTTTTCGTACAAACACAGACTTCAATCCTTCTCGCCACTGTTTTGAATCTAAGGCTCTGACGCCACTTAATAAAGCACCGGGGGGGTGCTTCGGATCAGAATACGCAGCTCACACAAACAATCAAACGATATTTTACGGAAAGGTAGAATTCTCGCCACAATCGAGGTGATAAGAGAACTTGCTATACGATTCTGGAATCCACTCAGAATAGCCTCACAAGGGTCTTATAATTAGCTAAGGAATCCACTCGTAGCTAATGACAATGGGTAAACTCTCGAGACACAACTCAAGAACTCTAACTATTACAATGAAAACTAGAAGGTATTTAAAGGCAAATAAACCAAATACAATTCCAAACTAACAAGGAAACAATTAAGGTAAAAATATACTCTAAAAATGACTCAAAATTCGGCCAAAAACTTCCTTTCTTGACGCACAAGTAAGCTGCCAGCAAAACAGTAAAAACAGCTTTTGTACTAACTTTACGCCTTTCGTTCGAGGCCTTCCTGAACTCCAATATTTCATTAAATTCATTGAATTTGTTCCCAAACATACCTAGTTTCATGTTGTGGAAGCCTTTGGAACTGAATCGGATCCATGCCCCTCGGATTGAGCTCCAAAGTAGGCTTCACATAACAGTTTTCTGCCTTAGCCATTTTCAGGCAGTTTTCCAGTTTTGAGGTAGCAAATTTGAGGCCCTGGAAAACATACTTAATGACATCATCTGGCTCCAAAAAGCATACCATTAGAAAGATGGACACTTTATCTGCAAAAAACCCCTTAAACTTGAATTCCCACCAAGTCAATTGAGAGAACCATGCCTCCAAAGTATGTATCCTGAACACGGATTTTGACTTAGCCAAATTTTGCCCTTCTTCTTCCCAACTTCGATAGCTTCTTCGTCAAGTAATTTAAGTGTGTATAGTTGACCATTTGGGATCATATAACGATCTCTAATAACTTCTTGTGGTGCGGGAGTAATCGTCTCGAAGCACCAACTTCTTGGTCATTTGCAGTGTTTCTTAAGTCTAAAGGTGGACTAGGAATTAAGGATTTTTGAGTATGTAACAAAGTATGTGTCATCCGTCATCTGTGGTCGATTTTAGCTTGTAGTGGCTCTATATGGGTCGCGTGGATTCGTACTTATCGGCTCAAATCCAAAACACTATGGGAGGTGTTTGCTACTTCTGAAGGGTCGTGGGTTTGGAAGTGGATCTTGAAGCTACGGGCTATTGCAAGTAGATTCATCACAGGTACTGTTGGCTCTCTTATGTGGGATGACACGCCGATTCGTTATTCTGTTTCCAAAGTTTGGCGCAACATCAGGGAGGCTCACCCTCAGGTTGGTTGCGCAGAATTGATTTGGGGTAAGTTCCTTATTCCAAAGTAAAGTATCTTGTCATTAATGATGGTTGGGCGGGCTAATTGTCACACCCCATACCCAAAATAACCTTGCAATCCTCAAATTACCCCTATGCCGAAATAAACCCTAACCTAAACTCCCCTCTCGGTTCACCCTCTCCTCATTAATTAAACCTAAAGCTAAAACCCAAGGGATACCTATGTTCGGGATCATCAAATACTGCTTTGAACTCGTGTTGGAGGTTTACAGGCGGGTTGACCCTGGGAGTACCTATCTTCAGTTGTCAAACTACATAATCTAATGAGGTGCGTGGTTAAAGGGGGCTAGAGTAGTTTTCGTAATCGATTTATGCGTTTATGTTTATGTTATTCATTTCAATTCACGCCTTACGTTTTAGTTATTCCTTATGCACTTTCATGTTTAGCTAAGTCTTTTACGATCAGTCATTACTTTACGTGTGTATAGCAACATGAAGCATCAGCAAGCTAAGTTTCAACTTTCAAGGCATTCAAGTCTAAGCTGACTTGTGCAAGTTATAAGTTGGGTCTTCCCATTGTGTGGGAGAACACCAAACCTTTCAAGTATGCAAGCAAGTATGAGTTAATTACATCTCCCCAGGAGTGAGGGATTAAGATAAGCAAGTTTAAGAACTATCAAGTTAATAAGTACGAATAAGTAAGAACACATTTAATCCTCGCTTAGCTAGCTATGCACACGGTACAGGATCCCCATTGTGTGGGTGTTTTCGCCTTAGATAGGCGTCTGATCCCCATTGTGCGGGTGTTTTGCCTCAGATAGGCACAGTTTACACGTTCATTCTCCCCATTGTGAGGGTAGTAATGTTAAGATATGTTATGACAAGTTTTATCGGACGGTTGAGCTAGCTAAGTAGAGGACGGGGCCCCATTTTAAGATAAAATACGTAGTACACATATAAAGTAAACAAGAATCATCAGTTGAAGGACTCCTAATAATATCCCAATAATGTACTTAAAGCATTGCATGTGCATGGCTGTCTGTTTATGTATGATAACGAAATTAGGACTAGGATTGACCCCATCGCCCGCATCCAGGAATTGTAAAAGCTCTAGAGCATGCTAGAAGTTCGCAGTTCGTGACAATGATCAATGGACCTAGAGGACTTCAGTATGAAGTTTGCAATCTCGTGTATTAGTAGGGCTCGAGGCTTGATGCACATTTATTAAAGATGTTTATGATTTCCTCTCATGCAAATTTCAAGAAATTGTTCTTTGAATTTCAACGTAATTATTATGGATATTTAAATAAAGTTTCCCGCTAATTTTCCCAGTCTGTTTGGTACTTATTTTTTTAGAACAGTTTATCAAGGGCATTTTGATAATAGTAGTACACCGACCGGGTTAGATTATTACATTTTGGTATCAGAGCCAGACTCCCTCTATCTACACTTTGTAAGTGAGATACTGGGAGTTGGTCTCATTTTTCATAATATGTTTCCAAAAGTCTTACACAAAGGATTTGGTACCTTTTTTTCAAAGCATCAAGTCTCGTCCACTAGAAGTTCTGGTGTCATAACACAACTCCGTTCTAAGTGGTTAAGATGATTCCAATTGGACATGATAAAACTTGTTTACGGATAAGGAGTAACGAATGGTTGAGACGTCAATTGATGATAGATATGATCAGTTCAAGGCGAATGGTGGCTATCAACTTTGAGGGAAGGATGCAACGGGTGTTGTCATGATCACGAAGGTATGACCCTATAACACGACGATAAAGGTGGTGTTTCCGCTCCATCCACAAGGAAGGGACCTAATTAAGTTCTCATACTGCGGCGACTCCTCCTTCCACCTGAATCATCTCCGCGTGCACTATCTTGGCGACGACAAGTTCGTCTTCTTTCCCTGAGGTCCCCGCACGACAACTCTCAACATCCAGGTTAGTTTTCGCAGTAGATTTGTTTCCCCTACTCTCTTTAGCCAGCTCCCCTGCCTCTCGCCCTCCTTGGTTTCCTGCTCCTTCTCGAAAGGGAAAGAGGTTGGGTGAGGTGTGTTTTCGGATGGGTTGTGATTGTACTGTAATCTTATTTAGGAGTAGCAACTGCTAACTGTACAGTAGCCGCTTCACAGTAGTAGAGTGACAGACAAGCAAAGATTAATGTTGTAGCTTGTTTGAATGAGATGATATGCTTGCCGTAACTGTATCCAGTATCCACCCTTGGAAACCACGTGAAGCAACCTGCCGGGAAGGAATAAATGATTACCAGCTATCGATAGAGATAGAACCCCCAATATTGGAGATTGGTCCTTATTTAATTTTGAGCTTCCTTTACTTTCTTTTTGTTTTGATACACCTTCCAAGTGATGAATTTAGATGTTCCCAGGACTGATTATGCATAAGTAGAATTAATCAGATACATTATGAACAATAGGAACCAATTCAGTTACACTGCAGAAAGTTGCAGACTTGCTGCCTACGCCATAGATTAATCATCAAATGAGGTTTATCTTCTCTTAAACGGCCTTTTCCCCATTGCTGTCTTTATGAAGATGAATCGATTGTTGATGCCTCAACGATTCAGAAGAAAAAGGAAGTAGGCCAACTATGTGCAAGGATATTTGGGACATACCTCCGGGTCAAAAGATTTTCGTGGCCATGAAGGATGATGGACAACCAGTGGGAGATGGTCAAAATAAGCTAGCTAACTTCTTGGGTGTTAGGCCAAGTCCATTGCTAGTCTCTAAAAACGTACTTATGATCATCTTAATACAATTTTTTTCATGTTAATTTTTGTATAGTTCGTCATCATTTTTAAATACAAATTTTCCGGTAGAAAATTTTATACTTTTGAGACCAAATTTTTTTGACAAAAAATGATTGACCTAATTTGGGTTTACACACAACACTTGAAAATTATTGATCTAATTAAACCCCTAACTAATCCCCTAATTAAACCCCAATTAACCCCTAAAATCTTAAAAAGGAAAATAAAAGCCATGTGGCGGGCTTTGGGGAGTCTCTATATTTGGGAGAACCCCCATTTCCACCCCCAAATTTGGGGATCCTTTTGCAGATCTCTCCCAAATATAGACACTCCATTGGAGCCAAATTTTCTCCAAATGTAAAGACTCCCCCATTTATAGAGGCTCCATTAGAGTTAGCCTTATAGCTAGAAATGGTGCATGAGCCCTTCTAGTTTGCTTTATAGCACCCATGCTATAAAAAGCCAAAAGAAAAAAAAGTTACCTATTGGGGAGGTAAACTCATTAAGTGATTGATCCCTCATCATTAATGACAATCTTGCAAATAATGAATCAATCTATGAAAGTGTAGGTACAAATTACAGTTGTACCATACATGTAGGTTTCAGTTGTACCATTGAAGAATTTGTTTCACAAAGTGTCGGTACAACTGAAAATTGTACATAGCGTGTAGGTACAATTTTAGGTTGTACCATAGAGAGATTTTTTTAAAGTGTAGGTACAACTTTAAGTTGTACCACAACGTTGAGGTACAAGTTTGGGTTGTACCATAGAGGTGTTTTTTGGAAAGTGTAGGTACAACTGTGTATCATAGAGTATAGGTAGAAATTTGGGCAGTACCATGGAGGGATGGGTTCGAAAGTGTAGGTACAACATAAAGTTGTACCATAATGTATGGTACAACTTTAAGTTGTACCATAAAGGGATTTGTTCGAAATTGTAAGTACAACAAAAAGTTAACCATAGTGTATAGGTACAACTCTAGAAAGTGTAGGTACAACTTAAACTTGTACCATAACGTATAGGTACAAGTTTTGGTTATACCATAGAAGGATTTGTTAGAAAGTGTACCAAATAAAAAAGCGTATACATGATATTTGACAGAACAGAAGCGTGCAATCGATAATTCAGATCAAACATAAACAAACACGAATTTAACGTGGTTCACTAACACAATGTCTGCTAGTTAATCCACGGACACGGGATAACAAATTTCACTGATTTTGAGGAGAGTACATGTTACAAACCAAATTCCAAACAGACAAACTAAACAAACTAACCCGACTGAACTTGACTACAGATTAGGGTGGTGAAGAGTATTTATAGAGGTCTTCTCCTAATCCCAAACATAGAACCACACATCTTTTCCTAACCTACAAGGAAAAGGCAAAACAAAGCTCAAACACAAACTCAAACAAAATAGGCCCAAAACACAAAACAATTCAAAATCAAATTGAAGTCATATCCTAACAATATTTATGTTTATACTACAGAGGTTTTATATGTGCAACTAAATTCATTTGTTTACATCTACAGGTGTAGAATAAGAGTGGTAGTCTTACTGATTCAATGTTGCATCCCTCTCCATCGGTACCAAATTCACTTTTCATATGAAGATCAATGGGAATGTCAAATGTTGGGAGAATGCACATTTCTGAAGTAAGAATAGTTAATAATTGTCCTTGGTCCTTATTTTTCTGGTTTCCCGTGAAAACCAAACCAAATACATCATGCACTTTCTTCATACATTTTGCAGAATTCGATTTCACCAATAAATAATGAGTTTGATAATCTTGATGGTGTATCTAATCAGTCGGATCCTTGTAGCCAGGTAATATATGTTGTCTTTTTATTTATTTCTTACTTGCTTGGTCAAAAGTTTTGCAGCCTACACTTATATCATAATTTTTTCAAATACAAGACTTAACATATGTGTTATTGAAGAGTTTATGGAGTCCTGGCGTTGATGTGGCTAGAGCAGGTTTGTGCAGCAAAGATCCCAAAAAAAAAAAAAAATAGGTAGGCGGGAGAGAACCAGGGGTTGGATTTGTTGAGTAATTATCATAGTACCAAACATGAGTGATGAGCCATTAATTCGACCATATGGAAGTTATTAGTTTATTGGAGATGTGGTAGCGCAAAGTATTGCTTGGCCATCTAATTTTGGAAGTCAATTCATCTACTATTGTTTAATCATTGTTACATTTTATTCAAAGTATTGCTAACTTATATAAAAACTTTGTATTTATTACAGATTGAACCAGTTTGAAAACTTAACATGCACTAGTTTTGGTGATGATGTTGAAATTAATTTCCGATTGCAGAAGAAAATCAAGATCGAGGCGTTCCAAATGGAACCAATCAAGCCATAGACGAGAGAATTCTCAACTTGGAGCGGTGGATAGTAACCAGAGAGCACAACCGAGTACATCGACATCACGAATTTCGTTATCACGGTGGACGACCACGAGAAACATGGCATAAAAATACAGTGGTTGACTTGCGAGAAATCAAGCTTTCAATTCCTTTGTTTCAAAGGTTCTAACAAGGCATCTACCTACCTGGATTAGGAGAGAAATATTATTCTTTTCTTTTGGTGGGGTAATTACACATAACCACAAAAATCATGTTAGCCACATACGAATCACAGACTATGCAGCTACGTGGAAGGAGCAAGTACAACTTAGAAGACGAAGGAACTTGCTGCATGATGTGGCAAGCTAGGCCAAATTTAGAGGTCTTATGAGAGAGGTTTGTTTCAGGATACTATCAAAGATAACTCTTTGATTCATTGCAAGGGATTTGAAAGGGATCACATTTTGTTGATGAGTATTTCAGGGAGCTTGAACTGCTCTCGATGTGGGAAGACATGAGAGAGGATAAATAAGCCACAATTTTTTCGAGTTTTACATGGCCTCAATGGCAAATTAGACACAAAGTTGAGCTTCGTCAGGTTGTGGAGTTGGAGGAAGTGATTCACCTCGCTATTAAGGTGGAGAAGCAGCTGAAAGTGAGCCCTGGAAGTAGGTACACACCTTCCTCCAACCCTGTTTTAGAAAACATTGCTGAGACCAATTTGACCCATCTCGGGATGGAAGGAGACAAGCCATCTATAAGGAACACTACTCTAAGCAATCAAGCACGCTCCGAAGGATCAACCGGAAGCATTCAATGGTTCAAATACTTGGGACGAGGTAACAAAGCAAATCAATGCTGCAACAGGAAGGCTCTAGTTTGGCGAGATGGTGAATACCTCTATAAGGAAGATCAAGAAGAAGAAGAGAAGTCCTAGGAAGCTGAAGTCGATTCAGACTCTGATATTGATGAACACATTGCTGCCAAGATCCCTCAAGGAGAGAAGTTTCTTGGAGTAAATCTTTGAGTGCTCACCATTGAAGCTTTTTCAGAATCGGAACAACGTGACAACTTATTTCACTCATGTTGTCTAGTTGATGGGAAAGTGATGTATCTGATTGTTGATGGAGATAGCTGCACTAATGTCATCAGTCTAGAGGCAGTAAGGAAGCTTGAATTGAGAACAACAAAGTACCTACAGCCTTACTCACTGCAATGTTTGAATGACTATGACACAATTAAAATCACCAAGCAAGCATTGGTTCAATTCAAAATGGGAGAGTACAAAGGCGAGATTCTTTGTGATGTTGCACCAATGCCGGCAACTCATCTCTTGGTGGGCCGTCCATGATAGTTCTAATGAGGAAATGAGAAATTGCTACAAGATCAAGCATATGAAGGTCAGAAGATATTTCACAAACCTTTTACTCCAACTGAGGTCTGAGAAGTTAAAAAACGAATAGAGCTGAATTGGGCAAAGGAGAAAGGGAATTTGAGTGGCTCGAAGTTAGAGAAAGAAGGTAGAGAAAATTTTATACCTCGTAGGTACATGTTAATAGGCCTGAAGGAATCAGAAATCCAAAGGCCACTGGAGCACAAATGTTCTATTTTTCCCCGGCAAAACAGAATGCTAGCTTTGAGAGCTCCTTCTTTGAGATGGGAAACGATTCAATGGTTTCCACCACCTGGAACGAGTTTCTTGGAGTTCCATGAATGATTTCCCACTCAGCAGTAACTCAAGATCATACGGGAATCAAAATGCCCAATTTAAAGTCAATGATCTTGAGTCTAGAAAATTGTAATTCGACTTTGGCGGGTAAACTTCAGCAGGTGCATCGAAGCTTATCAAGGCCATTCAAACCTTAGGATTAGTGTGGAACTTAGATTCGAAGGAAGGATAAGTTAGATCGAGCAATGGATGGGAGGATGGAAGCTTGAAATTTTTGATTTCAAACTTTGAGAATTTCATTGAGCTCGTCGTGAAACTGGAAACTTCTTTGCCATTTTTGGGTCATCGCCTTTCGATGAATAATGAGGATCCAGACCAGAAGTTGTTCCACATTGAAGTAAATGCCACAAATTGGATCTATCCGTGCAAGGAAACTGGAGATCTCCACAAGATGATCACAAAGGAGAAAGAGCATGCAAGCTTATCTCGATCCTTTTTGGATTGATTCTGATGATGACTCCTCTTTCAGACACAAACAAGCTTTGAGGCCTAAGATTTTCTAACGGGGAGGGACTGATGCAAGCACCAACGGAGTCCCAAACTCATCATACTTACTTGTCAAATAGGTAATCAAAACGTGGGGAAAAGAAGTGAAAATGGCTAAGAGTTTAAACCAGTTTATGATAGCGACTTTGAGAACCTATATCGTCATCTTGGAAGACATTCTATTGAATCTGGAGCTCAATCGTCATAGTCCATGTCAAGTTAAAGATCTTGAAGGCGTTGGTTAAGGTTGACTGAGCTCTGAGGACCTCAAACGAGCAGCCTAAATATAGTATAGAGGTTGTTTTGGATACTTGAAGTCGATTTGATTATTTTTGAAGAAACATATTGGAGGTTGATTTCCTTACCTTTTTTGTTTGGGATTTCAGTCTTTTAGTTTGCTTTATTTTGTTGTTAGTTTAGTAGTAGAATTCGAGTTTTTGAGTTTATTTAACGGCATTGAAGACAAGTTGTAAGAGACACGTTTTGAATTTGATCAATCAAATTTTACCCCTTTTCATTGAGTTTGAATCATTAATTTCTTGTAGTAATTGGTGGATTCAGTTTGCGTCTCTATATCAATCAAGCAGCCATCTTGGTTGTGGTCGAGAGCTTCTACACGTTTTGATCAAGCCTTTCCTCAGGTGTGGAATTCCATGAATTCAAACCCTCCTATACATTACCAAACTCTAGTTTGGTGTTCCTTTTCTTGGTTCGAAGGATGATCAATCAATTCTTCTTTGATTGTTCTTGGCTGCGTGATTCTGATCACTAGAACCTCGATCTCGAGGTCATATCACCCGGGGTCTCCATCTTTTTCAAATTTTCAATAAATTTTATAGCATAAGTTATATAAAGTTGTCATCCTAGCATTAGCCAAAGGCTATGATTATATAATTGTGTGAGTTCTTATACTATTTCATACGATAAAAGCGGCTTCCTTTCTTTATTAGCATAATAAACTTTTAAGTTGCCGTTCATAAGTGTTTTTAGTCTGATGCATGCATGTGCACATTATTCCTATGCTGACATCTAGCGACTAGCAAAGCATCTCTATCTTTTTCAGAAAAATTTATGTGAAATAAAAAATTGCATTAAGCTTAGGCAACCATGAGGAAAAACCTGACGTGCCTCTCAAACAATACAACCAAAACCACCCAGCAAAGGGCAACAACACGATAAAAGAGTAAGTTCTATAACTATAACCTATCTATATACTCCAACTGGGTCTGAAGAACAGGATCCCCAGTAACTCGATACAAAACATCACTATGAATTACATTCATCAACTCTCCTGGTAGCATAATGGGCTGCTTGCCATAGAGCATGGTACATCGTTCTCGCCAAATATGGTTGAGAGTTGTGCTCCACAGTAACCTACACAAACAATGCCTTGGATTCTTCGTACTCCAATGCTGCTCACGCCAAGTCACAATGCCATCCCAGTCCCCTGCAGTTGGTGGAGAGAAACCTTTTAAGCTTTGCTGCAATATACAAACGTATACGAGCAACGCACCAGAAGATGGCTTCTACTCTCCAAGCCACCTGGACACAACAGACATAAACCTGATAAGGGCTTTCCCCAAACCATCAACTTATCCTGAGTAACCATTCTATTACGCATAGCCAACCACAGAATAAACCCATGCATTGGGATTATCTCCTTTGACCATACACGTTTCCACCAGCTCACTTCTCGCGGTCGATCCCTTATAGAATGCCAAACCCTCTTAACAGAGTACTTTTGCATTTGCTCACCTTGACATAACACATGGGGGGACACCTGTAACGTGAGGGTAAGCACTCTACACTTCAAGAATCGCCTACATACCCATGTTCCAGCAGATGTACCAGAACCTCCCATATATTCCACTACTTTAACTTGTATCTAGTGACCCACGCCATCCAAAGAGAGCCTCCTGCAGTTAAGACCTCCCAAATATGCCTCAAGATGCACGCTTTGTTCCATAAACGGAAGTTTCGAATCGCCAGTCCTCCTTCCTGTTTAGGTAATGCAAGTTTGTCCCACGCCATCACTGCATGTGCCCAACCTCCATCCACAACAAAATCCCAAAGAAATTCATTGCACAATCGCTCAACTTCCTTGATGACAGACTGAGGAAGCAGAAAAATGTTCAGCCAATATTGCAACATACTAGTGATCACAATGGAGATGAGTTGGATTCTCCCAGCATAAGTCAGTAGTCTCGATCTCCAACTGCGCAGTCTCTGTGTAATTTTATCAACAAGGACTGGATAGTCATGTCTTGTAAGTTTATCAGTTATCAATGGCACCTCTAAGTATCGAACATGCAGAATTCCCAGTGGAAATTTTGTGATACCTGAGATATATTGCATCTCCTCTTTAGAAATCCCTGCACAAAACAACTGGCACTTTGCTGCATTACACTTGAGCCCTGACAACTTATAAAATCCATCCATTAGCCTTCTTATCCCAACAACTCCTCTAACAGACCCATTTGTAAACATCATCAAGTCATCCGCAAAACATAGATGAGTGATCAGAAGAGGCTTACATCTTGGGTGGAAGGGAATTTGATTATCCTGGACTGCCTTCCAAGCCAAACCATCTAAAACCTCCATATCTATGGTGAATAGATAGGGAGATAGTGGGTCTCCCTGTTTTAGCCCCTTACAAGCTTTGATATTCTCACATAAACCACCATTCAATGCAATTTTAATAACTAGAGTAGTGATACAATCAGACAGTAGCTTAAGAAAACCATAAGGGAACCCCATTGCTTCCATAACAGTGAAAAGAAATTTCCAGTTAACAGAGTCAAACGCCTTCATGATATCAATTTTCACCACACACCTTGGAGTAACATTCTTATAGTGGTAATTACTCACAAGCTCAGAAACTAGCAAGATATTATCACTAATCGCTCTCCCCTTAATGAATGCAGACTGAGAACGGCTTATGATATTTGGGAGAACCATAGACAGCCTATTAGCTAGGATCTTAGATATACCCTTGTAAAGGGTGTTGCAACACGAAATAGGCCTAAAGTCCTTCATTTTTTCTGCACTAGGGATCTTAGCAACCAGAATAAAAATAGTGCTATTAACAATAGTAGGCATAATCCTAGTGGAGAAGAAACCAAGCGTTACCTCTTCTACATCTCTGCCAATGACATCCCAATGTGCTCTAAAAAATTCAGTGGGATACCCATCAGGGTCTGGTGCCTTGTCTCGACCAAGAGAATGAAAAACTTATTTTATTTCTGCCCTTGTGATACCCTGCATTAGCAGTGACTCATCCTCAGCTGTTAATCTGTGCTGTAAAATCCCATGATAAAACTCAACAGACTGATGTTCTACATGTGGGTCCTCGGTACCAATAAGCTTGGTATAGAATTCCACTGCAATAGCACCTACTTGATGGATATCAACCACCATTTCCCCTTGCTCATTCATCATGCGAGTAATCTGTTGCTTCTGAGTCTTCACCTTGACCATTTTATGGAAAAAAGATGTATTCGGGTCCCCTTCCTTGATAACCTAGACCTGTGACTTCTCTTTTTAGTAGAGTTCCTCAGCTTTCTTAACTCCATGTACTCCAAATGCATCATCTTCTCCACTTCTATACATTCAGCCCTAGGGTCATTCAGAGTTGTCATATGAGCTTGTTCCATTGCAGCTACAACTTCTTTAACTCTACCAGAAATGTCTTAGTACACTATACGATTTACTTTTTCAACCCCTGCTTAACTTGGTTCAGATTTCATAAAAAAAAAATGAGGGTAACCTTCAATATGTTTCTGCCAAGCTTGCTTTATAATATCCAAATAGATGGGATGATACTGCCAGAACACAAAGTACTTAAAGGGCTTTGGGAGAGTCGTCAACTTGGGATTAGTATCAATTATCAACCCACAATGGTTAGAGGCACCAGGAGGGTTAGTAAAAGCAAAGCTATCAACAAAAACCTCCATCCAAGCTTCATTTACTATGATCCTGTCAATTCTGCGA